CAGCAGCTGGAGGTTTCGGAAAAGCCCTTTGGCCGTCAGCTTCACGTGGAAGTTGGACAGTGACAGTCGAGGAGACCATAACATTGTCTCTGCTTGTCCTCCAGTACTTTCCAACACTGATGCGTCTAGCCTGGGTCACCTTTTTTATATAAGTACTTAAAACTTTTCAACCCTTTTAGACTCTCAAATAGTCCCGAGAGCCAGCTCAAACTGCTGCCTGTTGTCTATTTCAAAAATGTATTTCCTTGATATTATAACACTCCCAAAGTATCTTCATATAATCATTGACGCTCCATGAAGTAAAACTGTTCCTCTTTTCCTCTTTAAACAGAAATAAAAAAGAAACAATTCCCACAAGAAAAACAAAAAACAGACTCAGCAGTTGCTGCTGAAATTTGTGCCTTGCATCTTCACGAAAGCCACACCAAGATAAAAAAAAAACAAACTGGATTTTGAATTTAAAAAGGTAAACCTCTGACTCAGGACGGATGAAAACACAAACTACAAAACCAAAGAGGGAAAAAAGTGGGAGCCTGTTAAGCCGCTAGCTGCCTGTTATTGATTCAATGCCACAGAGTCACTGCTGAAAAACAAAAACAAAAAAACCACGGACGACTGGTTTCTGTAGCTCAGCCAGCAGCTCAAGTGAAAACGGTAGAAAATGGCGCCAAAACCAGCTGCGTGCTTCACCGTGATCCAGGTGGTAGTGAATCCTTCAACGACACAAGATGGAGAGAGGACGAGCAGGGAAAGCGGAGAGGTAGTACTTGTATGTGAGAGGGAGGGAGGATCCTCAGTTCCGGAGATGATTAGTAGTCCGTCTCTGCTGTTACACACAAAACACACAGTGATCCATCCCACTGACCCACAACACGGAGGTGTGCATGTGAACCGTTACACACATGCCGGGTGGCTGGACAAAGACAAACATTTACACACTGCCTCTATTTTACTGCTGTTTCGACAGCTCTGTGATCCCAGTATATACACATACACACACAGGGGGCAAGGATGCTGCAGGGGAGGAGGGGGGAGTGGGAGTGGGTGGGACTTGTGTAATCTCTGCTCGCTCATTCACTCCCTTCCTTCCTTCCTTCCTTGCTCCCTCCATCATTATCATCTCAGGTCTCCCGTCCTCTCTCTGTCTCAGAGATGACTCAAGGTTAGATGTGGTGAAAGGACGACAATAAAGAAGAATTACGGTAGAGATGAGAATGGGAGGGGCCTTTCTCTCTCTCTCTCTCACACACACACACACACACACACACACACACAGCTCGTCTCTTTATCTCTCAGTGGCAGGTGCCATACTAAGGCTATTCAGCCTTCTCAAAAGATGCTTTGTTTTACACACATTCACACACTTTACATGCATCTGTTGTTTCACATTAGTGTTTAGTGTAGCTGTGTTTTCAAAAGGACAACTACACCAAGGTTGAGGACAAAGGGAGACTGCATGTTCACCGCTGCCTGGTGAATCCTGGCGCACACTGAGCACATCTAATTCATTTCTTGTCATTTTGTATCTGCTCAGAGTTTGTTTTGTATCAGAGTGTTGGACTGCTGTAAGATGTCCGTGCAGATTCTCAGTCATCCAGGTCATAGTAGGCTGAAAAAAAATCAACTGGACTAGGTTTTAGGTCAAAGACATTTCACCTCTCATCCAAGAGGTTCTGCCCGACTGGCGTTGAGCCAGAGATATTTATCCCCATCGGTGGCGTTTCAGTCCTTAAAGTCCGTAAAGCTGATTCTGATCACCTACCTGGACATCCATTGGTCTTAGATCATATTCAAATGCACTGATCATAGATTTTCTATCATGTGTTATGATTCTCTAAACAAGGTGTATCAGAAATAATGTGGCCACTCAGACAAACAGGTAAGTTGGTCATTTACAGCAGCACCAGGCATCTCTGCTAGTGTTGTAGTGGAGATCAAAGCTGAGACCAAGTCACGACCAAGTACAGAGTGTATGGAGACTGAGACAATACCAGGACTTTAAGGGACTGAGACCAAGTCAACTCAAGACCCGACCAGTGCAGCTCTCACAGTGCATGAATGATGCATACTGTCATAATAAAACCCCAGAGAAAGCAAATGAATATTCCTCTTCATTCACCTCTTTTCTGTGTGTATGTACTGTATAAGTGAGAGACCATGAGAAATGCCTTGATAAAATAATGAAAAGGCATTGCAGAGGTGAATTTTTCTCTGTTTTCTATGACCAAACATTCAGGAGCTGAAATGAACTTAAACATCTTTACTCAGCATTCCTATGTTTTACCATTCATCTTACGCAAGCATCACGTTTTCTGAGTGACTCTTGTCCCTAGAAACATCACTAAGTAACAAGTACAGTCACTAGATTTCATCTTTTTGAAAAAACCTAATAAGGGGTCTCAAATTTGCTAAATCTAGCAAGAAAGTTGCAGAGTTGGCAACACTGCCCACATTCACTTTCTTTTTAACTAAAAATATTAGGAAAAAAGTTTCAAATAGTAGCTTTAAAATGCATTAGTTTGTACTGTACAGTGCATGCAAACAAAATAAGAAAAAAATCAGACTCAAATGTGAATTTCAAATCAGCCTTCAAAAATTACAGCTCAGCCATGACACATAAACAGTCCTCTCAGGGCCCAACACGGGACAATATAACCAGAGCTCTGTGTGTGTGTGTCAGAATCAATAAAGTCCATGTTCAGTAGAGACATAAAGAGCTAAAGAAAGCCAGCGAGCGCTATAAAGGCTCACACTGCTAACCGCTGTCGCCCAAGGGCTGTGGTGTCTGTGAATGAGAGAGAGAAGTGTAGGAATTAAATGCATGTGTGGGGCTCATGAAGTGCAGGTTGCCTCTGTGTGTGTGTGTGTGTGTGTGTGTGTGTGTGGTGGTTAAGCCATCATGAGGGTAACAGCAAGTCTATGACTAGCAGCTCCCCACAGGCCTTCCAGAGACTTCCAAGACTGACCACAGAGGGGAAGCAGCCAGGCGCCCGGGCACAGATCAGATGTGTGGGAGAAGCTGAAACCACGGGCCCTGGCTTCACAAGGCCCACGTGGAGGTAGTTTGCTATGCTCCAGATGTATGACACCATTTGTAGATACTGTATCTGTTACTCTCATTATTTGCTGACATGTAGTCTTGACACCAGGGATGGGACGATGGGACTTTTTCTCAATAGGATTCGGTGCACGGTGTGTGTACGATTCAATTCAATCATGATACAATAAAAAATTAAACGACAACAATGTATGACGAGCTGCACAATACTTATACTTTATCCCTCTTTGCCCCCCTTTTCTAACACTGGTATGATTATGTAAGGAACAACCAGATATACTGACTTACATTCTGTTAGCTTACAATCTTGTTTGGATACCACACAATATATATCACTAAACAAAATGATACACACTGTATATTGGATATATTGTCCCATTCCTACTTGACACCAAAATAATATAATCTATAGCTACTTTAAAATAGGTTTTTGTTATGACTTCAACATTTGTGAAATAGTGAAACTGATTCAATATGATTCAACCATAAAAAGATTAAATCCAACTTCAGTATTGCTGAGATGCCAATATGGCTCTGTTCTCAAATCAAAGACCATCATTTGTGTGCGTCATGAGCAGCAGGATAATTACAGAGAGGCTGCAGGGGGATGAAAATTTTGTTTGCTTAAGCTTTTAGGGTCCAGAGCTGCAGTGTGTGTGTGTATGTGTGTGTGTGTGTGCAACTGAAGAGTAAGAATCCAGTAGTGTGGTTCTGATTAATGATCACTAAAAAGTTGTGCTGAACATACACACTGAGTAAACACTACTAATGGGTGTGCATTACAATTTACACATACTAACTCATACCCATAGAAAACATGCACATAAGTAAGTTAGGTACATGGTGCTTAAGATAACAAAACAAAATAAGAGTCAAGAGAAACAACAGAGTGCACAGTGGAACCCCACCAGCACAAAAACTAAACCCCACTAAAGAAACTCATTAAGTGAAAAATATTCATTCATACCTTCATTCATAGGGGCAGTGATATCTGGAGTGAGAGGTGGCAATACGAATTGTTTAGGGGAGAAAAGAGAGGCGTTCTGGAGGTTTGACTTTAAAAGTTGATTTCCAGGTGCCAAGGATGAGTTACTATCGTGGAGGTTCTCTCTAGTGTTTCTATTGACTCTATTTTATTTTGTTTTATCTCACATATGTGGTGCCACCTGTGTCCATTATTAGACACCGCTGTGTGGATTTGACTGCTGAATGTGATTGGCCCATGACCACAGACTTAACTTAATTATGTGTTTTTATTGGCCGACATGTGAGTTAGTATGTGATTAGCTGTTTTTAAAGGATTCTTTTTTTCTATATTTGCACTATTTATGGAACTCCTTGTTGTATATTTTCAGTGGACCCTGATGAGGGCTTTATGCCAAAACACCTTGGTCTTTTATCTTTGCATTAAAGTTGGAACACTGTTCAGTTTGTTTCTCGTGTGTTTGTGCACCTTGACAGTGGGTGAAGTTGCACCAGTAACTTCTGGGGTATCTCACTTAACCTTTATAAGGAGTCAGCTATGTTTATAGACATTTTAGCAGCACAAAATACTGACTATCAGTAGCATCAATCAAAAAAACTACTGTTACTGACTTTTAACAAACATCATCTAGACCTCTGAATAAAATCACAGCTGCAGCAGATGTCACAGAATGTTAGCATCAACATCTTGTGTTGTCGTGTGTGTCCGTGTGTCGTCCTACGCTCTGCTTTCAAAATACCTGATTCATTTTAACATCATTCAAGATGCACCAACACAAATCACACACAGTAGCCATGATAACACTGGATGCTACCAGTGTAGCCCTAGGCTAAGAGAAACACTGGCACCCCTACAGCCTTCTGCCCTTCCTAGTCGACACACAATATGGCTACAGACTGAGGTGACAGAGAGTCACAAACCCACACACACCACAAAGAGTCTGTCAAACAGTGTTACCTGTGCTGTTCAGTCGACTGAGTCTTACTGAGCCACTTCGTTGCAAGGGATGCTGGGACGCCTGTTTCAGCAGCCCTTGACTAGCAGCAGTCTTTACTGCAGTGTGACTGGCAGCTGCCATCTTGGCTGTGGTGTGGTTGGTGGCTGCTGGGGCCTTCAGACCTGTGGAGAGGATGCAGAATAAGTCAAAGCCCATCACAAAACCTCTCTAGACGGCTTTTTGTTTTCACTAGGGGCCCCAATGTTGTTGCACAAACTTTCCTGTCACAGTTGAGGTTGAGTTGAGTTGAGTTGAGTTCAAACCTTCTTAGTTGTGATGAGTCCACCCTGAGTGGAAACCCAGTTTCCACTCTGTGCTGACAGCGGACTCAAACAACAAGACAGAAGGTTTGAAGTCAGAAAAGCCAGATTATGACTAGGAGGCTGTTTCTCTCTTCTGCTGCCCCTCTCTTGTTGTTCTGTCTCCAGCTTCTCAGCTGGTAACAGGACCACATGGTTTATCCACTCCCTGACTCACACAGGATACACTGCAGAAACCGCTGCTTTTTCTCCAGTGCAAAGAAAAAATCTAAGTGGAAACTGCTGTCCAGTCACATACACACCCACTGAGAAGAGGATGTTTTTCAAAATAATAATAGGACATTCATTCACTTATTGATAATGGAAAACATGAGACAAAGCATTCAATAGAAAGTTCATTAGGCTCAAAGCTAAAATCATGCATTTGCACAAAGCATAAAAGGAAAAACTACGGGCATAGATTAGCTCTGTTAAGATTTAAAGAATACAACAATCTGTGCTCCAGAGTTTACATGTACATCTTCATTACATTCATTAAATACATCTGCAGTGTATTTATAATGTTATTAGTGTTTTGGTGTAGTGGGCAGCTGTTGCAGTGGAGTCTGCCCCACGTTTCCTGGTGCTTTATGGGTTTTTAATGGGGTTTTGGTAGAAGGTGCAGTCTCATGCCTTCAACAAACCTGCCCAAGGCAGAAAGTTCATTCTACTCACAGGGTCATGTGGAAACTGAGAACTTACATTTTACATTTAACTTACCTTTTACCAAGCCCTGTTACGAACATGAACCACTGTGTATTCCAAACATTAAAGAAACCCTTGTGACACAACCAGCAAAATCCATCTGGTTGCCGCTGATCGTGTTAAACAGCAGCCACTGCTGATGAGAAACTCAGGACTCGTTTGCCAATAATAAAGACAACAATCTCCTGCTTTGAATGTGATAACTAAGAATCCTGATTGCAATATTACAATATATTCACATATACCATATATTTAAATAATAAAAACACGAAGCAGCCTTTAAAATTAAATTCATTTTGCCCTTAAAGTAAATGGGTCAACTGTAAAGGACTTGGGATGCATGCGCACACCCACATGCACACACACTCACCTAGAGCAGTGGTCCTGGCCTGCAAAGACAGAGCTCTGCTCCTCATAGCAGGAGGCTTCGGAGCAGCAGCAACGCCACTGTTAGAACTGGTAACTGCATCACTGGGAGTACTGGTGCTGATAGCTGCGGTGCTGGAGCCAGGGGGCTTTGCTGCACTCTGGCTGCCTACAGGTACCGTGCTTCTGCTGGGCCGCTCATCTAGCTTGGTCCCTGATGGTGCTGGAGCTCCTGCAGATGCTGAAGGAACACAGATACAGGAGATATAACAAGAGCACCCAGAGAGCGCATGTGCCTCCACAACATTTGCTCATGCAAATGGGTCCCTTGTGAAAAATCAAATCAAATCAAATCAAATTTTATTTGTATAGCGCCAAATCACAACAAAAGTCATCTCAGGACACTTTACAAAGTAAGATCTAGACCTTACTGTTATCAATATTATTACATAGGGAAAACCCAACAAATCCCCCTTGAGCAAGCACTTGGCGACAGTGGGGAGGAAAAACTCCCTTTAACGGAAGAAACCTCCGACAGACGCCGGCTCTTGGTGGGTGGCCTTCTGCCTCAACCGGTTGGGGTGAGTGGATAGAGGAGAGACAAAAGAAGAAAAATGAGATCCAGAACACCACAAAATGTGTCCTAAAATCCTTGATCCGGATCACTTTTAGGGTTGGTCCCCACCAATGTCTGTACCAAGTATGCTGATGATCCATGCAGCCATTTGTGTTCCTGCTAACACACACCCACACAGATACGGAACCATAAACATAACCTCCTTGGCGGAGGTAATAATACCAAGATAGACCAGCAGAACATCTGAGGGGGTGTCAACAGTGTCAGCTTATTGAATGTCAACAGTGTGAAGCCTATAAATACTAACATCTACTAGCGAGAGAGCAAGGCAGAGGAGCGCAGACTGTGTAATCAGGGATAAATGTTTCCATTATAATCCAACCCAAACTGCTTCCTAACAGTCTTTAAACAGCAGAGAATTGGAAAGTGAACTGTGAGGCAA